GTTATTGGGTACAGGGGCTCCTCTCCCGGGATTAATGGCCTCTCTTCATTTTGTGCTTTTAGTCTTTCTTTCAAGCTGGAAGTGTTTCTGTTAATATAATTCTTTTTAAAATTTTGTGAGTTTTCCGTGAACCTTCTTAGAGTTCATTTTACTAGATAAAACCCATAATCAAAAAACTCTGAGATAAACCCTTCTTTGCTTTGAGCTTCTACACAGAGTAACTACGCTTGTAAGCTTCTTAGAAACCCTATTGTTTGAGTACATCTGTGAGTCACATCCTTAAACTCTGTATAGGACTTTTTATGGCTACTATTTTGAGAAATAAGCAAGATATAAACTATTTGGGGGGAAAATATGAGAAGATAAAGGTTAATAAAGGAAAGATTTTTAAACATTAAGGAGCAGTATTTGGTTTTGAAATAGCTCACTCTCTAAGAGCAAAAGTCTTAAATTAAGACTTCCAAGTAAATATCAACTAAGGTCATTACTAGAGAAATATGATATATAAATAAAATGTAAAGTACTCTTGTTAAAAATCTCTGAGTCACCAGCGTAGTGTCTGTTTCAGAGAGGTGACCTCTGCCCCCTGTTTTAAAGTAGCATTGTCATTGTCGGGGTCATTGTCATTGTCTGTTAACCCAGTCAATTTCTTTTACAGTGTTCTTATCAGAACTTACTTTATTTATCTTTTGTGCTTGTTTAATATCTGTCTCTCCTACTAGAATGGAAGCTCCATGAAGGCAAATACTTTAGGTCTAGTAAGTTATAACTTGTGCTTAAATACAATTTCTGGCACTGTTGAATGGTTGCATTAATTTTTTATTGCAAAATCTTGTCGGACATGGTCAGATGGGAGATTTTAAGTGCAAATAAGATTCTTGAAAAAATTTAAGCTATTATAACCATTAAATTGATTTCAGTGACTTGTTTACAGCCCCTTTTCTAATTGTTGAAGTTCTTCTGCAGAGCTGTCAGGTATGTTTCCTTGGTCATCCTTAATTTGCATTCATGTGAGGTCATGAAGAGTATAGTAACTATTAAATGCACTGTGGTTTGCTGATTTTCTGGGATCTGTGGGACATTGTGGCTTTTATTTTGTTTTCAAATAAAATTTTGGATAATTTCAGCCATTATCCCTTGAAATATACATTTTCTACCTCATTACTCTTTTCTCCGTTTGGGACTCCAGTTACATTTATGATGGTCTATTTAATGTTGTCCCACTAGTCCCTGATGCACAGCTGGTTTTCCTTCAGTCTTTTTTCACTCAGTTATTTAGGTTGGATGATTTATATTGATATCTTCAAATTTGCTGACTTTTAACATTTTTACTATGTCTTATCTTTTAAGTTTATGCATTTCTTTACTTGTAGAATTTCCCTTTTTTTTTTTAAGTTTTCTTTTTCTCTGCTGAGGTTCTTTATGTGTGTCTTTGTGTATACTGTGTGTGTGTGTACATCACAAACACTGAATATCTTTCCCCTAAATTTTAAAGGCATATTTATAATAGGTGCTTTAGTTAATTTGTTAAATCCAACTTCTGGGCCACCTCTGGGTCTGTTTCTGTTGACTGCTTTCTGGCTTGTATGTTGAATATTGTGATAATATGTTATAGAGACTTGAATTCTATTATCTTCCTCTCAGAAATGTTGATGTAAATTTTTTTTTTCCCTAATAGGTAAATCACCTTGAATTTGTTTAGGTCTAGTTTTATGCTTTTTCAGACTAGCTCTGTGGAGAGTGTAAGGTATTTCCCAAACCCTCCAACTTAGGAGACTCAATTCTTCTGCCTTTTCCCTGATTTTGTCAGGCTTATTTTTGGCTTAGTTAGAGCAACCCTAGAATATGCCTCACTCTCAGATAAAGTCCTTAACTCCTCGGGCTCTGCTTTTTTGGGTGTTTCAGGGATCTGTCCAGAGTGTTACAGAGGCATCATTTGGTTTCACCACTCTGTCTGGGGCCAAAACTTCTAGAAGTTTCATTGCTCCTCAGCACTGTTCGACCTCTGGTAATTTCCAGTCCATTCTTACCCTTTCACAGTTCTCTGGTAAGATTCCTCTTGGCTTGTACATGTGTAACCCACACTTCAACCAAGGATTCTTAGGCAACTTCTGCACAGGCCTCCCCTCTCCATAGCTCTCTTTTCTCTGGGGCCTTGCCCCACAGATTTTAGCTGCTTAAACTCTGTAATTTCTCCCTCCTAATTAGGCTCCAGTGGAATGCTGTATACTGCTTGAACTGTTTACTATACTTGGAGTATTCTTTCTTCAACTTTACCCTAGGTCTGCTTGAAATTCAGATCTCTATACCACAGTCAGGAACTCTCTCTTGGAGCAATCATGGTACACACCTCCTTGTTTCCCTTTCTTCAACAGTCACAGTCATCTGCCTCTTCTTAGTGCCAGAAAAAGTTGCCTTATATATTTTATCTACTCTTAAGATAGTTTATGGGAGAATGGCCAGTTTAATACCATTTATACTGCCATCCCAAGTTATTTTGAAATAACTAGTAAGAGCTATAAAAATGCTATTTATCTGCTCATGTTTGGTTTCACTATTTTTGCCATTAGAAAATGTTTTCACTTGAGATGTAGAAATCAGATATTTTAATATGTTTGTGATATTACAAGTGAAACCAATTTTCCTCTCTGACTTCTGTAGTGTATTTAATAATCAAAACAAAATTTTCAACTTTCATTATTATAAGGTCAACCTAACTCATGAAAAACAAACTTATCTTTTACTCTGTTTCATATATCACTGCTGACAACCTGATAATCTTCAACTCAGGGTCTGGTTATAGAATGATTTTTGCCAACAATCACTGATAATGATATATGAATTGGATATGAAATAGATTTTCTTCCTTTTGTATCATGACTTCCACCCAAAATTAGATTAACTTTAGATTGATTATAGAAAAATAGCTTAGCTTGAAAAAACTGTTGTTCTTTCCCTGGCCAAATGCCCTTGAATGTTAATTTAGAACTGAGATATGTTAAACTTCTACTACAGTGGTGTTATTGCAACCAGGGTGGTTACATTTCTGACACCTTCCATGAGAAGAGAATTCTTAGTTCTGGCAATCCTTATAGTGGGAAATAAGCTTTGGTATGACTTCATTATACAAAATTAATATTATATCAGTGGCATATTACTCTCATTCAGTAATAATAAGTGCATTTTATTATTTCTTGTTTATACTTTCAGGATTTTATCTTCCCCATAGTTTAATTTCTATTACCATTTTTCAGACATCGTCCAAATATCTATTTTTTAATTTTTGACTGAAAGTTGTTGATTCTCACTTCCTGCCCCTAGTATAGTAGAAGGTAGAGAATAACTGTATGTTTGAAATGAAGTTAAAAAATCTTGTTTTTTTTTCAAACCTCCTTACCAAGCACATTAAGTTAGACCTTATCCACATCTCGCCTCTCTCTTCTTATAGTCACATTTCCCCAATCTTACAATATTAAGAAGTCATTAAAATACCCTTACACCTGCAATATTCACAATGTACCTTATTTACTAGTGATGTATATGTGTGTTTACTTATTTTTTTTAGTACTGTATAATTCTCTTTTCACATTCTGGTTTTTTCATTAACTGTGTTTATTACTTCTTCATAATTACTGTGAGCTTCATAGCAAAGCTTTGTAATAGGTGACATTCTGCAAAGTTTAGCCCCACTTTTTTGTTACATCAATTTTATTTATTTTTTTAAAGGTTTTTCTTTCTTTTCTTTTTTTAAAAAGATTTATTTTTATTTATGCATACAAGAACTGGAGTACAGGCCAGAGATGTTGGGGGAGAGGGAGTGAGAGGATTCACCAGAGACAGAGTGGGAAACAGAACAGGCAGATTGACTGAAGTACACTGCTGAGGAGAGCAGCGGGAGAGTCCGGAGAGGTCTGCTGCGCCATGTGGGTTGCTCCCTGGCTGGCCGGGGATAGAACTCATGCTGCAGAGGCTGTGGACCGCTTCATAGTGTGGTGCTTAACCCCTTGCGCCACCAGGGAAGCCCTGTTACATGAATTTAATATTACTATAATTATGTTCATCCTCACTAGGTAGGGTTTATAAACATACATATATATTATATTAAATGTGATGGTGCTTAACCCCTTGCGCCACCAGGGAAGCCCTGTTACATGAATTTAATATTACTATAATTATGTTCATCCTCACTAGGTAGGGTTTATAAACATACATATATATTATATTAAATGACATCTATCTTATGCTGTTGGATATGTAAAAGAAAGTAATTGATTGGGAGAATTAGTAAAAGCATACATGATTCTTTACTTTCTGTAGTCATGCAAAATATTGTTTCAAGGGATCTATTTTAGCAACAACTTGGGAATTAATTCTCATACTATAGTTAATAAGTATTTTTTTAAACAACACTCCAGTTTATCTGGAATCCTGTTTTATTTCAAATAAGCAAGATTTTACTATACTTTCATTGGTTGATACCAGAACATTTTAATAATTGTTATTTATGATGGTAAAAAAAAACCAATTAAGGTATAGCAGTTACATTATTGCTCTTTCAATTTGTTTGCCAGTGACTTATTTGTGATGAAATAGTAATGGTAGCAAATCTTACAATACTTCAGAGCCTGTCCAGTTTGATGCTGTTTCTTCTAAACTTTTACCCCACCCCAATTACATTTTAAACAAAATAGAAAGGTACTGTTTCCATTATCAAAAAAAGTGTTTGTCTCTTGCTTCCATTTCCTCTGTATCTTTTAAAATAGAATTGAAAATAATTTTGTTTTGTACTCAGAAACGATGTGTATGTTAATTGTCTTGGGCTAAGACAATTGTATTAACTGTTTTGGAATTGCATAAGGAATATGGTTTGAATTGTTGATAAGCATGATCAGAACATTGTGGATTCTGAGGCGAATAAGTGATGAAAATATCACCAAAGTGTCCAGTCACACAAACATGCCTTTTTACTGACAGTCATTTTTTTGACTGCTGTATTGCAGCTGTTGAAAATGGACAGATAGATGTATTAAGACTGTTACTTCGACGTGGAGCAAATGTTAATGGATCCCATTCTATGTGTGGATGGAATGCCTTGCACCAGGCTGCTTTTCAGGTAACCTCTGAATTTATTATTTCATTTCCATGTAAATTGTGTGTTTTGCCCTTTTAAAATGACAGTTCTATACAGTTTTTGCTTCCTACTTGCATGTGATTTATGATGTTTAGTGCAGTACAGAAAAGCCAGTCTAAATGCTAATGATCATTCTGAATAAGCCAACTGCTCTAGTAGTTCTAGCAGCTTTGGACTGCAGGGATTATCTAAATTTTTCAAATGTTGATAGCATAGTTAAGATGCCATCAGAATATTTGGGATATAAATTGATAATGAACAATGGCTTATTTTATTTAAAGAAGTATCTTTAAAAACTGTGATCACTCCTTAGACTAACAAGCTAATTTTGCAGGATTTTTAAAAGAATTATAATTCCTATAAATTATAAATCAGTGTTTCATCTGTATGTTTAATGGGCTAAATAAAGGTATAGAATAATTTGATTATTTAACATTTTCTTCCCATCCTAAAATATACTTACAAAGAAAATTTTCCTTTAGTAGGGATTAAAAAAACAAGCCCAAAACAAGAAAAGAGATACCTTCTATTTTCTTTGTTTTCTCTTATTTAAATTATGAATTTATGCTTTAGGAAAATGCTGAGATCATAAAATTGCTTCTTAAAAAAGGAGCCAACAAGGAATGCCAGGATGACTTTGGAATCACACCTTTATTTGTGGCTGCTGAATATGGCAAACTAGAAAGCTTGAGCATACTTATTTCTTCAGGTAAGATTAATCCACTAGTCTTTTCACTGTTAAGATGAGTTTTATCTTTGTGACTTCGTAAGGAGAATAATTCCTGACCAGATATAAATCAGGTTGTGAAATTTATGATTCTATGTTAGTGGTAAATAAGAATACATATAATAAGTTGATTTATAAGCTTGCTTAGTAAGTGTCTATTGCCAACATAATAGAATGCCCAGCTACTAATTTATCTGAGGAGGAAAATAATGATCCATCACTAAACCAGGTTTATTGACAAGTTGAGTGATGGGGCTGTTCTTTCTAACAGGGTTCTGAGAAGATCCAACTCTCTAGGGTAGAAGGCTAGTTTAGGTTTAATTAATTTGTTAGGTAATTATTTTATATATTAAGTCTTTGAATTATCTGTTCTAATCAATTGGGTGATTATTTAAATGGGTTTATTTCAAAGTATGTTATACTTTATTATGTTAATAGTAACATAAACCTGATGAACATTTCTCCATGACAACCAGTGCACATTCAGCATTGCCAGAGAAGATAATATTAACATGGTATTCTTGCTCTATCATTTCTGTGACCAGAAATGTTTATTATATAATGACTTTTAAATTCCTCTAAGCACTGTGTATGTGCTCATGCTACTTAGCTGATGAGACATGAATAGTCAAGAGCAGAAAGGAAATACCACTGTGCTTTCCAACGGGCAAATTTTTCCCTTCAACACTAGGCTTTTTAGTTATCTTCTGCGTTAGACTTTTAAATTAACTGCAAGTATATAAAACAAAGTTTGTTTACTTAGCAAGGCATATATTTTATTTCTTCTTTTTCATACAAGCCACTAAATACTCAAGTTGAAGTAAGAAGCAGAACATTCATTGCCAAATTAAGGTATTCTTACATTGAGTTTATTAATCTTACAGTTGAGAGTAATCTCTAAACTCATTTATTTAAATATGTATGTTTTTGATCAAGAATTCCAGACCCTGAGTGTTTCTGTGCCTTTTCAAGACAAACTGAAGTCTTGAACTCAGGTCTTCTGACTTCTTGTCTTCTTCTACATTGCTGAGGACAGTCCTGATTTTTTCTTTTTTAATATTTAAGTGAAGTAACAATTGATCCTGAGTCTTTTTATGGCTTCCAGTCCTATAAGTTAATATTTAGAATATATAATTAGTATTCAGAATAAAATAGGTTCACCTTATGGCCCAACTGGTCTTCTGGACCACTAACTACCTGTTTTGTTTTGTTTAGTTCTTTTTTCCCTTTCTCCTCTATGAATAGTTATGAAGAGAAAATTGAAAAGGTGTGTAGTTATGTTTATAATATATGTTTTTTACTCCTAAAATGACTTTTCTTTCAGTGAGTTCTCTTTCATTTTCCTGACATCTCTACATGAAATCTTATAGAGATTGGTTTCTTATTCTTTTTGATACTTTGAAATTGTCAAAATTTAACATTGCTTAAAGAAGAAAGTCAAGTAGATTTCTTTCTTAGTCTCTTTTCTGAGATCAACACTAGGTGAAGCATCTATCTTGTGTAAATCAAGAAGATGCTGCTTGTCTACATATGTTGGATATCAAGTTAAAATTTCTGAAAATTCCATAAACTTTAACCATTTGTGTCTACATAGTGTTGACACATCTTGGATCTTTGTTTTATATAATATGCATTTATGGCAATCCTTTTAAATAAGAGTCTTTTTCCATCTCAGAATGATGGCTTTCCCACTGAGATGTTTCAAATAGTTAACAATTCTCACAGTCATGTAAATAACACTATACTTAGCATATTTAACACATTATTTGTCAATGAGAAGAGTTTATGTAAGTCTGCTATTTTTAGTACCTTCACAAAATTTGAGGTTATTTTCAATTTTTTCAAGTCTTTATATACTGCTGCCTAAATGTGTTTAGATTTTTGCTTTTAAAAAACCAGCCCAGAAAACCATTTAAATAGATGTTTCCCTTTTTATTCTAAGCTCTATCATGCAGTGGTCATGATGAAAAGGGATGTAAGAAAGAGTTTCCTCAATACTAGTTTGAAGACATAGCCCCTGTGTATGTCACATCTACCTGAAGTTGTTTTCATAACTCTTATTGTGAATCATTTAGTGACATCAGTAAAGCCTCATAGTATTTTTCTAAACATTTTCAGATAAGAAAGGTTATTCATATTTGATCATTTGCATTTTTTGTTTTTAGAAAATTACTTGTTGGACCCACATAGTGCTTGCTGAGGAGGAATTGGAATGAAATGAATCCTTCATTGAATAAGATTTTTGTTTTAGCTTAAAAATGAATTATGAAATATTCATCACTTGTTTTCTTACTAGCATGAAAATAAAAATAATTTAAACAGTACTCAATAGTTAGGAAAATCATTGTTTACACAACTATAGCCACTGAGGAGGAAATACTGGTCTATGAAACTCTTTTATGGCATCTACTTTGAAATTTATGTTATATATATATTTGCATAAATGAAGATTGTTTGTTAAATGTTTTATTTTATTTGTATTAGGTGCAAATGTCAATTGTCAAGCCTTGGACAAAGCTACCCCCTTGTTCATTGCTGCTCAAGAGGGCCACACGGAATGTGTGGAGCTTTTGCTGTCTAGTGGGGCAGATCCTAATCTTTACTGTAATGAGGACTACTGGCAGTTACCTATTCATGCAGCTGCACAAATGGGCCACACAAAGTAAGTGTTAAAAACAGAAAGTTAAAATGGTCTCATGATTAAAAGGCATAATAAGGAATAAATCTTCTGGGCCAGACCTTTCACCTCCAGGCAAAATCCTTGGCATTTCCTTTGTTACCATTCTGCTAGGTGAGTAGATCTGCCTCTCCTATCTCCCCCTCTCTTGGAGCCCATGCCATCCCTAACTCTTCTTAGTCTTGCACCTTCCTAGTGTGAGACATTGTGATTAGAGAGAGAATAACCTGTGGACTTTCTCAGAGTGTTGTCTTCTTGTGATTTAACAGATTATGGCTATACATTCCTCTCCAGTTTTATCCTAGGCATCTTTAGGTTGTAATCTGATGAGTTTATTCAGCTAATGTTGCTTTCCTAACCCCAGAAAGCTTTTGAGTTTGTTATTCCTGTTGGAATTGAGTCTTTCTTTCATGTGGACTGGGTCATCCTCTTCATATTGTATCATTTGACTGAACTTTATCCAATCTTAAGTCCAACCCTGGTACTTCTACTTATTTCTGTTACTCTTCTTCCTTAGCCAAAACTTTGCAGGAAATTTTTAGTATTTTCTGGAGAGAGAGACAGAGAGAGAGACAGACAGAAACAGTCACTGACTGAAAGAAAAATTAAACTTAACATTGGTCGTTCCAGGAATCTTTATACCTGGCTATGAAATATTGCAGTCTATCTTAACATGAATTGACACTGAATAATTTTACATCATTCCTTTTTGTACAATGTATGCTTTCTTCTCTCAGGTGTAGTCCTCGTAGAATTCCCACCACCAATTCACCCATGCATCATCACCATAGTCCCTATGCTCTTCACTCCCTCTTCCTCCCACTCCCCTGAAGAATGTCTCTGATTTATAGTTGTCTGTTCATTTTGGTTTTTCATTTACCATATTTTTTCCCCCTGATCCCTTGTTTCCTCTACATTCTTCCTATTATTGAAGCCATCTGATATTTTCTTTTTCTTTCTGGCTTATTTCACTGAGCATGATCCCTTCCAGTTCCATCCATATTGCTGCAGATGGCATGAGTTTATCTATTTTAATTGCTGAGTAATATTCCATTTTGTGTATATATAACATCTTCCTGATCCAGTCATACATTTTTGGGTATTTGGGTTGTTTCCATATCTTACCTGTTGTAAATAGTGCTGCAATAAACATAGGGATTGCAGGTATCATTTTGAATTAATGTTTTTGTATCCTTTGGGTAGATACCTAGGGGTGGAATTGCTGGGTCATATGGAAGCTCCATTTTTAGTAGTTTGATGAATTTCTACACAGCTTTCCATAGTGGTTGGACCAGTTTGCACTCCCACCAGCAGTGTAGGAGAGTTCCCTTTTCTCCACATACCTTGCCAACATTTGTTGTTGCTAGTTTTTTAAATATGTGCCATTCATTGTGGTTTTGATTTGCATTTCCCTCATTACAAGTGATGTTGAACATCTTTTCATATACATGTTGGCCATTTACATTTCTTCCTTGAAGAAGTTTCTTTTTAGCTCTTCTGCCCATTTTTTGACTGGATTGTTTACTTTGTTCTTGTTGAGTCTCATCAGCTCTTTGGTAGATCTTTGTGGTTAGTTCCTTATCAATAGTATTATGTGTAAAAATTTTCTCCAGTCAGTAGGATGTCTCTTTGTTTTGGTTAACTGTCTATTTTGCTGTACAGAGCTTTTTAGTTTGATGTGGTCCCAGATGTTCATCTTTTCGTAAAAGTGAAATATTTTACTTAAATTTAGTGAGATGGTCATTATTTTAGTATATTTGCTAATAGAAAACATTGTGCAATTTGGTCATTATGCCACTAGGTGGCATGGTATTTTACTACCATTTCCTTAACAATCTTTGTTGTAAGCATATTTGTGTGTTGAGTATAATTTTTCCAACCCTTTTAAAAAATTAAAAACATTCATTAAAATTCAAGAGACATTAACTATATCCTTTATTTTAGCAAAATGCTTTTTTGCTAAAAATAAGGGGACAAGGATGCAGAAAAATTTCTTTAAATTAATGAGTGGATGACTCTTAAAATATGTTACAGGGCTTCCCTGGTGGTGCAAGGGTTTAAGTGTCAGTGCCAGCCAGCCACTGAGGCATGAGTTCCATCCCTGGCCAGGGAGCTGACTCACATGGCACAGCAGATCTCTCCTATCTCACCTGCTGCTCCCTTCAGCAGTGTATTTTAGTTGATCTGCCTGTTCTGCTTCCCACTCTGACTCCAGTGAATCCTCTCACCCCCTGCACCTCTGGCCTACATCCCACTTCTTGTATGCATAAATAAATAAAAAAGTATATATATATGTTATAAAAATGTTGTCTAGGGCCTCCCCTGGTGGCATGGGCAGTTGAGCGCAGCACTGTGAAGCTGTCTGCAGCCTCTACAGCGCAGGTTCAATCCCGGCTGGCTGGCGAGATACCCACATGGTGCTGCAGACCTCTCCTGTCTCGCCTGCTGCTCCCCTCAGTAGTGTATTTCAGTTAGTCTGCCTGTTCTGTTCCCTACTTTGTCTCTGGTGAATTCTCTCAGCCTCCCGTATATCTGGCCTGTTCCCCGGTTCTTGTATGCATAAATAAATAAATCTTTAAAAAAAATAAGAATGTGTCTATACTAATATGCCTATAAAAAAATGAAATGCCCCATAACTTGTATATTTGCAGAATCTTGGATTTGTTAATACCACTTACTAACCGGGTCTGTGACACTGGGCCAGACAAAGTGAGCCCTGTGTACTCGGCAGTGTTTGGAGGGCACGAAGAATGCCTAGAAATGTTACTCCAGTGTGGCTACAGCCCAGATGCACAGATGTGCCTCGTCTTTGGATTCAGTTCTCCCATGTGTATGGCTTTCCAAAAGGAGTATGTATATTTGTTCTATTTTTTTCTTTTCTGCTATATAGAGATATATTTTTAAGTGAAAATAGTTTTGTTTGTCGAAGTGAAATACATCTCTATATAGCAAATGCCTTTCTTTTGTGATGAAATTTAATAATGAGTGCTAGATTGCTAATTTAAATACAAAAAAAAACAGACAAACAAAATTCCTTCTTGATAACCTTGTACAAAGTATAATAAAATTGTCGTGATCTTTTCAGATTTATTTCCTTCCCTCTTTGAGTCTGGATTATATTTCTAGAGTGTATCTATTCTAGGGTATACTTTCAATGTATTAAAGTAAATGAAGGATTCTTCTGATATCCTTGGTCTTCGAAACAGTTAAGAATCAAGACAAGTTTTCAGTTGTATGAGTAAGATGTGAGGATCTAATACACAGCATGATGACTGTAGTTAGTACACTGTATTGCATAACTGAAATTTGCTAAGATAGTAGTGCTTATGTGCTCTCACCAAGAAAGAAAAAAAGTTAAGTATGTGAGGTGATGGAAGTGCTAATTAACTAAATGTATGTATAGCAAATCATCAGATTGGACACTTTAAATACTTACTGTTTTATTTGTCAGTTATACCTCAATAAAAATGGGGGGTAGGAAATTAAAAATTGCTTTATCAAGTAAGATACTATGGGGGCCTCTCTGGTGGTAGCCTAGGGGTTAATGTCACCACAGCAGCCTGAGTTAAATCAGCACTTTGAAATCAGTTCCTTATCAGTTGTATGTATGCAAATATTTTCTCCCAATCAGTAGGGTGTCTCTTTGTTTTGGTTAATGTATCTTTTGCTATATAGAGCTTTTTAGTTTGATGTAGTCCCAGTTGTCTATCTTTTCTTCTCTTTTAAAAAGAAAAAAATTTATACGAGATTGTTTCTTTCCATTAGAAATTGAAAAAAGGGAAATTGGCTATGGCTATTGCTAAAGAAAGTGGTATCATGGAGATTGCTCACATTGTTTATTAACTTTTTTATCAAGTATTTTGAGTAGAGGTATTTAATTGCATAAATCTATCATACTTATAGTAATTTTCAATGTATCAATGATGATAATTTTAAAAATTATTTAAGTTGAATGTTTTAAAAATCTGAGACTGCTCCCTGTTCTAAGGGAAAAATGATAAACTGTAGGAGTGTATATGTTAAAAAGTATTGCTCTCCCCAATTCTCCACCCCTCCCCCCAATTTCAATCTATTAGACATGTAAAATCATCTGTTATTCCATTTGCCATTCCTTTTCTGCAGCTGTAAATACTAGTAACTATTTGTAAGAATTATGTTTTATGTAAGAGTCTAACTTCTCTTCTTTATTTTTTGTGGTGGAGCTGTGAATTTTTTGGAATTGTGAATATTCTTTTGAAATACGGCGCCCAACTAAATGAACTTCATTTGGCATACTGCCTGAAATATGAGAAGTTTACAGTATTTCACTACTTTTTGAAGAAAGGTTGCCCGCTGGCATCATGGAACCATATGTCTGAGTTTATAAATCACGCAATTAAAGCACAGACAAAATATAAAGAATGGTTACCATCTCTTTTGCTTGCTGGATTTGACCCAGTGAATATACTCTGCAATTCTTGGTAAGAAGTCCTACCATTGTGGACCTTATCCCTTATTAGTGAACTTTCTATTTAACTTTCCCCAGTTTCTTGGATTTCCTGCAAAGGTGTTTGTCTTCTGACTCTGATGACTGGGTTGGGGTAGAGTTGGGAGACTGGTAACAGTGAGATTAAATGTAAAGATACAGTCCTGGGAAAAAACAAGAAGTGACTAGAAGGGAGTAAAGACTGCAGTGTTTGTGTTTTTAGCTACTGAACTATGTTGCCTTAGCTGTGTGTATCCACAGGGATTTGGCAGTTGCCTAACCTTGGTGATCTGTACCAACTTTTCTTGCCCCTTCCTACTCTTAAATTAGGAAGAACCTCTGCAGGAAAAAAAAAAACTTAAACATTGCCACTTCTTTTCCTTTTCAGCACATTTCGTGTTCTGATGGAAGTAGAGGGAATTTTTAGCTTTATTCTGCTAGAAAACTGTAAAATATACTCTTCCATTCCCAATTCTAATACAGCTTCCGCCCTCCCCACCATGTGAATAGTCCATTTGAGAATTTTTGTGGTAATGAGCCATTGGGTATGTGCTATATTTACTGGATGTGTTAGGATAGAAAGAAGAACCTGTAAGTTATAAATTATTTTTTAAGTAAACTGTAAACTTTTAGTATCTGAATTGAGACTGCCAATATATGTATTTTTCTCTGAAGGAGTAACTTTAGTCACTTTATATTCATTAGAAAAAATACAATGGAAAATTTCACTTTAGCAATGAAAATGCTTAACACGGTCAAATTTTTGTTCACCAATCTTTTATTGAATGTATAAAACCAGTGTTTATGCTGAATATGATAAATGTTTTGCTTTCTTTGATCAAATTTACATTCAGAGAGCTGTTATAAGAAAAATCTCCCATAAAAATTCCAATATGTTGTTAAAGTGGATTTTGCTTGTATCTTATTTATATCACATGTAAGTCTGTTGCTTAATCTTTGTCCTGTAAATTATAAATGTCTTTCGTAGGTATTGCTTGTCTTAAACAGTTTTAAAAATGTATCTGGCTGAATAATTGCCCTGTCACAATTTAATCTACAAAGTTGAAATATTTTTCCAACTTTAAATGCAAGACTAAACTCACCCCCAATGTAATCAGCAAATAATAGAAAGTAAATGTCATCTCTACATTTAGTTGATTAACTGTCACTTGTTTATGATTGTGCAACTGCTTTGTACAATGTAATGGCCAATGTAGTACAGTAACAATACATTTTTGGTGGCATTATCTGCATTGGTAAAATAAAATCACCATTATATTAACTAGAATTGTGTAAACCGATTTGGCTTTTGTGTGTATGTTTAGATAACTGCATAAAAATGACTTTGTGTTTGGTTATAGTAAGACTTAAAGGCGAAAAATGAACCATAAAGAAAGAAATAAGGAACCAGATCCAAATAACCTTTCATGTGGGGCTCCTAGAAAGTCAAGGAGATTGTTTGCCTTCGAATCTTTTTTTATCATTTCACTTACTCTTACTTCCTTATGTTATGATTTCACCAAGAGCTGCCCTAGAAGGAAAATCTTTTCCAAAGCTGTTTGTATTACACTTGAAGTTCTTCTTCATACATGTTTGCATATTCCAGAAGTAAGAATTTGGGAAATAATTTTTATGCTTTTTAATCAGTCATTTCAAGGATATTTTGAATTATGAGAAATAAATTGTCTTTGAGATGACAAATACAAAGTATTTAGTTTCTTTCCTTTCCTTCTGTTTATTTCTTTTTCAGTCCTTGTTTAGTAATGTTGCCAGAAAAGCCATCTTGAAATGAATTTCTGTTTTTGAAGTAATTATCAGAGACCCTAATCATTTTATTTATTTTTCTTCAAATAGTGTTATGGTAGGAGGGAATATCTAAATACAGGATGGGTAATCTTGTTAGAGCATAGAATTCTCTCTGAACTTTGACTGCATTTCATGTGTACAGTGGTATGAGATCTACTGGATAAATAGTTCTGGTAATTTCAAATAATTATATATCATTTCATAGTTTTAAAAGTATACTTATAATCTCATTATTTCCACAAATATTTCACTGAAATAGACAGGTTAAGTGTTATTCTCATTTTAGTGACCAGCATCAGGGCTTAAAGAGTTTAGGCATCCTGTTTGTAGGTAGTAGAGGTAGTACTAGAAATTAGAACTTTTCTTAGACTAATGCTCTCTCATTTAGGATTCAAGTTATTATAAAATTGGAGAAGCCTCTTTTGGGTGCTGGGAAATCTGACATAATATTGAAAAATTAGAGGGAGAACTGTTTGATTTGGACACCTTCTTTTCATCCTTAAAGACACAACTTACTCCAGTACATCCTTTAAAGCTGAATGTATAATGGGGTAGATTCTTAGAGAAGAACAGCTGTATGTCCCTGGGAGTTAGGTGGAAACAAACGATCTCCCCTGTATACTCAATTTAGTGATGTCTTTTGGTGTTTGGGTTTTATCCTTTCAGGACTATTAGAAATGTGTCTGTAAAGATAACCAGTCTAGATTTGGCAAGACGGTCCAGTTAGGAGGAGATAGTGGCAAATCCACTGCTGACATTGGTGCTGTCTGTCTTTCCTTACCACTGCTGCTGGGAAACTGCAAGGAGTCTTCCTTCTGTCTACAAGAGTAGAGATTCCTCTTATTATCTATTAGACAACTAAACACAGTTAATTCAATTTCTTGTAGGAATCATTGAGTAATATACACTGAACTTAACTCTAGTTACCTGAGTATTTTCTGTACTCTAGATTTCTATCTTTTACATTAAGATATTGTAAGAATAGATATGTGGTATTTGTTTTCAAGATGAACACTTGGTATATTTTGTGTCTAATGGTGTATTAACATCTCACTAATTTAGGATTGACTCAGTCAGTGATGACACCCTTATCTTCACATTGGAGTTTACTAATTGGAGGAGACTTCCTCCAAATGTTGAAAAGATGCTCTCTATTCGTGCCTCAAACTCCTCTTGGGCGCTACAGCAACATATTGGTAAGAAAATACCACTTTTAAACTCACTTCACTACTATTTTTCTCTTCCTTCTTTTGCTGTATTGTAATTTTAGGTGGTGTCTTCAGAGAATGTCTATTAAATTGGGCACCATTTTCATTTTCTTTATGTGGGGGAAGATTAGGACTGTGGGTAGTTATAGTCATTTCCTTCAACAAAAATCATCTGATTTTGGAAGTTTAGCCTAAGGAATATAAATAGAAAAGGAGCTGTTACTAATATTTTAATGTAATATCCTTTTATTTTAAATAAGGATTATGTGAACAATAGTGAGTCCTAAAAATCTTGTTAGTGAATATTTAGTTCATAGTCAGAAAAAATGCTAAACTTTATTGTCTGTTTGGAATGTATATGGATTTGTGTTCTTCCTTTAATATTTTATCAGCTGTAAAAAAGGAAGTGTTATCATCCTTTATACCTGTCCTTACTGATTATATGTCAGTATGTTGGTATGATATAACAATGGCGGGAGCTATGGAAGAAAACTCTGTGACTTGATTACTATTTTAAATGACTTATAGTAAATCCCTCTTACCCTTATTAAAAAGCTTTAAACCTAGTTTAAAAAATTAAAGAGTACTCAGGTTTTATACAAGGAAACAAGTCTAAATATAATATATGCAAAGTATTCCTATTCCAATTTATTCTACTTCATTTTATTAACCACATTATGTCTTGTTAGAAAAATTATTTCTTCACTGATATTTTACATGAAATGTAATTTTTCATAAAACATGTTGAATAGGTTTTTAACAAGTAAGCTTTATGCATATGTAGAAACGTATCTAATTTCTTGGGAAATTACATTTAAGTAAATTTTTTCAATCAAAAACAGACATTCAGGAAAATGTGCTCTTGAACTAAGTGTATTCAAAACTGTTAAAGGTTTCTGTTGAAGCAAAAAATATCACAAAATTTCTTTAGTGATAATGTTGGAAAAACTCACTTGCATGTAATTCCTAATGTTGAGAATTGCATCTGCTTTTATTAATTATGTATTTGCATCAGAAGAGAACATGTATCTATTCAGAATAGATAGACTATGGGACAATGAACTTGGGAACAAAAAGTCAAAAGAGGGAGCATATGCCAAATGGGAAAATTATCACAGCATATCAATTAGTAAAGATATGTGAGAGTTTACTCTGAAGACTTTCACATATGGCAGATTGGTCCAGATGAAGGTAAAAATTGTGCCTGAGTACATTACCCTGCAGTAGACTAAATCTGTCAAGGGGTTCTTGTTTAATTAGGCACTAGGTAGAGCTTGTGTAGGTAATAATCATCATCTCTAAGAGGATTTTATTTTGGCTAAGAATTGCAGAATCCTTTAGCAGAGTTGTTAATATAGCTAATGCTTTTCTGATCTATTTCTTTAGTTAAGATATCTTTTCTTGCTTCAGGCCCATATTTCCAACTGACTTTTGGATGTCTTCATTTGGTGCCCCACAATTGGCCATATCCAAAACTTAAAATTGTCATTTTCCCTGCAAATCCTGCTGTTTCTTCTGTTTCCTGGTTAGGAGATAGAGTAGTGTGATAGTACTTGTAGCAAAGAAAGTAAATCATCCCAGGCAGCTGTTCACTGTTTCTTTTCATATGTTCAGAGGTTTGCTCATTGTCTTGTGACCTGTGCATGAGTTCTTGATCTTAAAGATGAATTATGTGCTTTTTTCCCCCCAAAAATAGAGCCCTTCCAATTTTCTTAACCTTTTTTTTTTTCGTTAATGACATGTAGCTACCAGTAGTATACAACCTAGCACATATTGTCTAAAATTTATGTTGAATTAAGCTCATGATGACATTTTAACTAAGTGAGAAAGACACTTTGTTATGGGAAGATGATTTTGAAAAATAATATTTCTGTTGTTACCTGATTTTCGTACCAAAAACAGTACATGTCACCTACAAAGACTCTCATTTAAAATACTTGGAAATAATTTCCCTGGATTTTGAGTGCATTCAATGTAAATGCAAAAAAAGCAAAACTTTTTTCTTTAGTATCTTAATCCAGTATTTTTTAAATAATTGTATTTTTTAATTGAGGTAATACTGGTTTACACACTATATATGATTTAGGGATATAGGCTCACCTCTGTATGAATAATCCACCATAGTCCATTGGCTCTTGTCCCCCTTTTTCTTCTCATTCACCATCCACCCACTCTGATAGTCTCAATTTTGCAGTCAGGTTTTTAGGATTTGGATTCGTTTTGGTTTAGTTTTACTGTTTCTTGGTTTTGTTTCTTTGTATTTCATATATAAGTGAAATCATCAGTATTTTTCTTTTTTTCTTTCTTAAAGATTTATTTATTTATGCATACAAGAACTGGGGTACAGGCCAGAGGTGTGGGGGTTGAGAGGATTCACCAGAGATAGAGTGGGGAACAGAACAGGCGGATTGACTGAAATACACTGCTGAGTGAAGCAGCAGGCGAGTCAGGAGGGGTCGGCTGCGCCATGTGCATCACCTCCCTGGCTGGGGATTGAACTCGTGCTGCAGTGGCTGCAGATAGCTTCATAGTGCTTCAACTAAACCCCTTGCGCCACCAGGGAGGCCCAGTATTTTTCTTTTTCAGTGTCTTATTTTGCTTAGAATCCCCTCAAGGTCCATTCATGTCGTTAAAAATGGCAAGATTTCATCCATATAGCTGAGTAGTATTCCATTGTGTATATATACTATATTTATTTATCCATTCCTATGCTGTTGGGCACTTTGGTTATACAACCATAGCTTTGCTGCTGTAAATAGTGCTACAGAACATAGGAGATCTAGAGATAAATTGGATTTAACAATATTAAAAATGATTGGGTCGGAAAAATGACTTAAAAAATTGCATGGATTTAGATATCATATTCTAGTCTATGATCAGTGTCATAATCTGAGAGAGATTTATTTAACAAATTAAAATATGGTTTTAACAGATTTTCATGAAAGTATGTTTTACATACGGCTTCTGGGCTTTTTCATATTGTAAATCCAAGGGATGACTTGATCTTTTCTCAGCCTAGTGGTAACACATCTGGAAATACTATGCATCACTAAAACTTTCATACTAATTTTGCATGCTTTGAAATATTGCATATATGATAATCTACAGGTGAAAGATTTCCTCAGTCAAATGAATATAGTTCTTAACTCTAATTGTTCATCAGGCCAGTGATCTGTTGTGCTTGTAAGAATAAAAACAAAATGGTATGATTAAAATGGGAGCCATTGCTTCTCTTTTTGTATTCCTTTCCTTTTTTTTTTCTTTTATTAAATGGAAAGACCTTCTGAAACTTATGATAGTTCCAGTAATTTAGAAAATTTAGGGAATTTAAAGGTCCCAAGATGTAGAGTCACATCGTTGAATCTATTATAGTATCAACTGTTGTTGATGTGCACTGTCAATGTGGGCAAGTCATTCCAGCTTCCCATAACAAATGTACTTGTCTATTTTGACATAATCACAAATAATTAAGCTCCACACACATATAGCATAAGCAAAGAAATGGTTTATTTAGTTGTGTAGTGAAAAGACCTGGAAAGACTTACCAGTGGTATAGGAGGCTTTGGAGCAGCCAGAGGTACTCTGCTCAGTCAGCCTGAGGATCTGTAAGTCAGTGTTGTCTGTCAAATCTGAGAAGCTGGAGAAGCATAAAGGTTTCCTTAGGTACTAGTAAGCAGCTTTCCTCTGGGTTGTATGACAATCCTTTATCTTCCTTCACGGTGTCTATATTGACAAGAATGTGCAGAAAGAAGAGATGCAGTTTAACATGACACATATTAAAATCCAGCTGAAGATAAGTTAAAATTATCTTAACTAACCTCACTTTAACTCAGTGCATTCAGTTTTGTCACTTCTTGGTCAGTCCTACCTGACTATTTACATGGCATACTCTGCGTCCACAGCTGCTAGGCTACTCTCTGGCTTTTCAACATATGTTTGCCCCTACCAGCTGAGTTGTGTGCTAAGTTATGCTTATTTCCACAATTTTATTGTATTTGTTTATGTCCTGTGGCTTTAGGATCAATTACTGTCCCTGATCTCACTGGGTTACAGGACTTCTTCATACCTTTATACTTTTTTTTTTTAATTTATTTATGCATACAAGAATTGGGGTACAGGCCAGAGGTGCGGGGCATGAGAGGATTCACCAGAGACAGAGTGGGGAACAGAACAGGCAGATTGACTGAAACACACTGCTGAGGGGAGCAGCGGGCAAGTCAGGAGAGGTCTGCTGCACCATGTGGTTAGCTCCCTGGCCTGGGATCAAACTCATGTTGCAGTGGCTGCCGATAGTACTTGTCCTTGCTGCTCTGATCCTGATCTGTTACATTTCCCAGGGATTAATAGAATAATATTTTTATTTACATAAAAGTATGTTTTTAACTCTCAGTTTCCATAGACATAACTTCTTTAGTTAATACTTTTTATCTTGGAAAATGAAACTACTATTATACGGTTCTTAATTAAGTATTTGTGGATTCTCCTTTATTTGGTGATTAGCTTTTGGCAGCAGTGGTTGTAGTGGCTGTGATTAAATGTTTACACATTTTGGGGTTAGTTACACCTGAGTTTGAGTCCGGGCTCTCGCATTTACTTGATGTATGACCTTTGGAAAATTAACTTAAACCACTACTTTCTTATGTCTACAAGAGTGTGATAAGATAAACTTCATAGGATTAATGAAGATTATATAATGTATGTGTGAAGACTACGTATGGCATGTGAATTAATCAATAAATGTTCCTTTTGTTTCTGTGCCAGTTTTAAAGTTCCATTCTATGTGATGGATAAAAAGAGGTTAACTCTAACTGCATATTTACTCATTTGATGTGGTAGATCTGTAGATCATTTGCAATGAAAAAGAGAGGAATATAGCATCTGCTGTTGTGAGATTCTGTCATTTTTACTTAATCCATTTCTTAAGCACCAACTGATATTACTGGACCTTTAGAATTTGAACATTTAGTTTTATGTAACCTTGAGTAGTGATTTAGACTATGTCACCAATAGCTGGTAATCATCCTAGTGTAAATAATTTTTCAAAGTAAGTCTAAACAACATAATATCTCATATTTTACTACATAGTAGGGGGAGGTATTTCTTTTAATGTTATTATATTTACTATATATTAAATATAATATTATATTTCTATTTAAAACTTTTTTGACTTTTTTGTATCCTTTTTTTTTTTTCTCAGCTTCTGTTCCATCCCTGACCCACCTTTGCCGTTTGGAAATTCGGTCTAGTCTAAAGCCAGAACAACTACGATCTGACAGTTTTATCTGCCAGTTGCCACTTCCCAAAAGCTTGCATAATTACCTGCTCTATGCAGATGTTCTGAGGATGAATGAAGTTCCAGAACTGGCAGTTATTCAAGATGGAGAAATCATTGGAGCTACTTAATATGGCTCATGTCTTACTCTGAAAACCACCAAGACAAGGCACCATGGAGTACAAATTCTTCATGATTTAATAATCACAAAAATATGATTTTTGTTTGTGTGGTTAGTTAGATTTTGGGGGCAGTAGTTTAATGGGAATGTTTACAATTGGGCTTCCTGGTAAAAACATTGTAAACCTCATTTATGTTACTCTATTGCAGTTTCATTACCATTTTATGTTGTGATATTCAGATTTTAAACCATTTTCTGCTTTATTCTGATAATGAACTGTGATGCTGCTTCTAGTGCTAAATATGGCATATTTTCACCTATGATCCTGGGCTAGGAGTTTAGAATGGAAAGCATAAAATTTCACAGTAAATGACACAACAGTGGGCTTGAAATCATTATTTTATTTGAGGTTGAATATCTGTTAAGTTTATGAAAAAAAAGTTTTCCTATCTTCTCTTAATTCAGTCACTTTTATGACAACTTGATATTCACTGGTAAACTCAGGGAAGATAATAGTCTTAAAGAATATGGAAAGTGAATAATTTTGCTGCTTTTTTTTTTTTTTTTTTTCAGTTCCTTGGTACTCTTTGGCTAAAAAAGACTCCATTTCTAATCTGCAAAGGCATGAACAGGCCTAAACACAAGGATACGTTCAATTGAAAAAGATTAGGTCAGTATTGAGATAAATCAGCATTTACCACATTCAGAATACTAATCAGGAGACCAGGAAGAGCATTTCTGAGGCACCATCTTTAAAGAAAGTATGTGTCCCTGAGTCACTTAGTATCAAATAAAACATTCAAGCTCCATTCAACCTTCAATTCAGAGGGCAACTTTGAGCCTATGAAGCAATCATAGCCAGTTCTATTGATATTGTAATATTTTTCCTTTTTATTACCAGATAGGTATTTAAATAGTCCATGAAATTTAAATCTCAGAATCCTAGGTTGATGAGATGCTGCCCCATTGGTTTCAGAATTGCTCGATCTGAATCTAGAATCAGAGAGCAATATAAAAAGAATCAAGTAAGCTATGATAAGAGAGTGTGGGCACCAACATTGAAAGGTTATGAAAGCCATTATTGTCACGATAGACAACTAGAGATGGGGTCGAAAGGAGGGCATGTCCTTTGGGATTCTGTAACTAAAAATAGAAAGAAGTGAGTCAGTCTCGAATAGACCTTTGCTATTTCATATATGCAATGTTGAAGGCAGACCAAAGGATGGAGATATAGTTAAGGTCCATACTGGTGACTGACTCAGCTCAAATTGGAGATAAAATTGCTACTTGTAGGGTAGATACTGAGTTTCCGTGTGGGTCTACGGGCAGAAAATAAGGTTAGATAGGGAAAGCCAGGTGGAAATTATAAATCTTAATTTAATAAAGAAATTCCAAGAATGTATGTACCATGTAGTATTTTGGAAATACTGTCCCAATCTTTATTTTAACTAACCCTGAGTGTCTGATTTGTAATATAACTAGTTTTTTTAATTAGGACCAAACGTGTACAGAAAGTTTATATTGGAAGGTGAATCTTTCTTTCCATGTGTTTTGTTAAAATTCAAATATGTAATAAAAACTCAACTATCCATAATTTATCATTGAGCTCTTAGTCTTAAAAAATATGAAAATTAACATTTCAGAAGCACTTAAAAGCTGTTGGTATTTAAAACATAAATAATTTTTACTTATTTATGCAGCATATCTTTTTGACCATAATAAATTATTTATGATTTTTATGACTTATAGCAAGGACTCCAAGAGAAATCCAGTCAAAATATCTAAAAGCAGGTAAGTTATAGTTACAGCTTCTGATCAAAATAATACAGTCAGTTAGTGTGAACCTTAATTCTGCCTTGCGTGTACTTTAAAACTCTTAGTTTAAAGTCATAATGAATCTAATGACGAACCCCATGCAGTAGTTCTCTAATGGCTGTGTGTATTATCAATGTCAGGCACAAATCCATTTTAATAACTACTGCCAAGTTCACTCTTCTTGATTCCATGTAGTCTTTTAAGTATATTTCCTGATAACCTTTCTGTCAGGATATCTTTCTGTAATCATTTGATGTGATAGTGGCAGCCTGAACATTGTTTCAGTGTTCCCCTGACTTTTGTCAAATAGCAAGTGTCTTGATACCTACTTTCTAATGTCACTACTTCCCAGAGATCAGTTATACCCCTCCTGTGTCCCACCATCCTTGATGGTAATAATCTTTGATAAGCGGCCTAAGTGAAATATTTATGTCACCTAATTAGTTGATATCTTGAACTTTAGATCTCTTATTCTCACCTAATTCAATCTGTTAACATGTATGAAAATTGTGTTATGTTACAGATCTTCAAATACTGTGCCAGGTACAGTTTGAAGACATGAATATTTTTGATTGGTCACTCCTTAAAATTCTACTTTGATTTGTTAGTCCTCAAAAACTTATAGATAATAACTGTAATAAGATGTAAATAACTGCATGTTTTCTCTGGTACAGTGGACTTGATAGTTCTATCAGCATAGGATACAAAAAGCAGTTGAGAAAATTAATCTGAAGTTTACTTTTCATTTTTATACCCTTCTATGTTCTCAGAGGTATATTCCCCAATTTATATTTCTTGATTGGTTATAGAAAATTTGTTTGAAGAGGAACTCTCAGTACAAGTATTGCTGACAGATGCTTGGTGCTGCTGCTAAAGATTTTAAATGGTGGGAATGGCTGAAGGGGATGGTGAAGTTCCTGGTAATTTGGCCATTTTATATTTTATGATCAAGTATTTGAGATTTTTTTTTTTTTTTGAGATCTTAAAAATTAGGAAATAATCAGTAAAATTACATACTGCTTTTTTTTAATTTCATAAATTCAGATACCCAATTTAAAGAGAATCTTTGAGCCAAAGGAATCTCTGAAACTTTTCCTCTGAGCTGGGAATATAATACCACCTTGGATATTACTAATTCTTTTGATTGGAACAATGCCTTCATCCTTTCCTTATCCCCAGCATCCATGGTTGCACCTAATTAATGTGTAGGTAAGAACCCAAACCAAGAGTACATTATTCATGACTCTCATGATCTAGGGTATTTATCTGAAAGGTAACTGAGAGTGGGTTGTACTGGCATGAGGAAAGGAGAGGTATATTCTAATTAGATGTAGTGTTGGGTCTCTGACTGTATACCTGTGCATTCTCTATAAGACAGTGTTTATGACTTCGGGTAACTATGACCTATAGTGGAGGGCTTAGATTCTATCACGGTAATTTTATAAGTAAAATTGTTTCTTTGCTCTTTTTTCATTTATTAACAAAACATTTAAGGAAAATTTAATATTCCTGGTGCAGCTATTCAGGTTTCCTGATTTGCTTTCTCTTTTTTAAAGTTTTTTTTCTTTTTGAGGCGTTGTTTAATCTCATTTACATTTATTATTATTGTTATTAAATGACAGGTGGTCATTAATATAAAATACTTTGCAATAAGTAAACTTTTTTGGTTGGAGTTACTAAACATGTGGGTTTATGAGACAGAAAACTGATTATACTTAGCATTTTTGTGACATTAATAGAAAAATGTATAGCCTTAATTGACAGTAATTTATGCTGAGAGAAGACCAGTTTGAATTATGTTTGTTATGGAAACATATACTTTGAAATAACTTAGCACAATTTTTACATAATCTTCTGCAGTTACTTTGGTGAATAAAATAATTTAGAAGAAGGACATCTAAGGCCTCCCTGGTGGTGCAAGGGGTTAAGCTTCAGCACTGTGAAGCTATCCACAGCCACTGCAGCTTGAGTTCAATCCCCAGCCAGGGAACTAACCCACATGGCACAGCAGACCTCTCCTGTCTCACCTGCTACTCCCCTCAGCAGTGTATTTCAGTCAATCCACCTGTTCTGCTCCCCACTGTGTCCCTGGTGAATCCTCTCAACTCCCACACCTCTGGCCTACACCCTAGCTCGTTATGCATAAATAAATAAATAAATCTTTTTTTTAAAAAAGAACATCTGCTAACCTATTGCTATGCTAGTAAAAATAAAATTCTTAAGTAGCAGTAATGAAATGGCATATTTTAAGTGGTTTTTTTTTTTTTTTTTTTTTTAAGAAATACCTATTTAAGAATTAAGCAATTCTTCAAACTGGCAAAAAAAGGAAGAAAGGCTATGGGACTCTACTATTTATAATTCAGATGATGTTAGGATATTTTCTTTCTCTTGGATTTAAAAAATACAAATTTGAGGATTTTTTTTTTAAGTTAAAGCACTTTTACAATTTTGTACCTTAATTATAACAACTGCAGTAGGGCCTCCCTGGTGGCACAGGGGTTAAAGTCTCAGCACAATCAAGCTATTGCCACCCACTGTGGCATGAATTTGTCCCCTGGCCAGGGAACCAACCTACATGGTGCAGCAGACCTCTCCTATCTTGCCTGCTGCTCCCTCAGCAGTGTATTTCAGTAGATCCACCTGTTCTGGTCCCCACTCTGTCTCTGAATTCTCCCCTCGCATCCCTGGCCTATACCCCAGTTCTCCTACACAAAAATAAATCTTAAAAACAATAGTAATAATATATGCAGTCAAGTTCAAGCTCTTGAGTTATCACAAATTCTGGATTGATAAGAATGGGAAATGATATGGCATTTCTGGGTTGAATCTTTTCCTGAGATCCCAGCATAAATCTAACCACCCCTCCTTCCTATTTGCAAAGAAGAGAATGAAGATGAGACCTTAGTAAACTGCTATAGTCCTTTTGGTCTTAACCCAGGGGAGTTGTGCAATTGCATATCTTTTGCTTTACTCTTTTATAACTATGTTTCATATGTATTTTCAATGAAGGAATTTAAAATGCTGTTGTTGCAGTGAAGATTAGTGTCTGCATGGTATTTCTATTTCATGCATAGCACTAATAGATGAAACAGAACAGGTGGTAATTGCCAGTGGCTCACTGAGACTTGTGAATAGCATCTGTTTATATCTCTTTTACCATCATTGGTTAGCATAACCTTCTCTTCATTACTTTCTTATATAGATTATAAAAGTCTATCATGAGTCACTATAAGGTGCTAATTTATCCCCTAACATGATGCAATAGATGAAGAAGAAATGTGATGGTGAATAAATGTGACTATGATCCAAATCAAACAATTTAAAAAGTAGTCATAATACTTGAGATTATTGAATCAAATAATATGTGCCAAAAATACCAAGTCCAAGCCAGAGTAGTTCCACATATAGAAGGGTTAGTTAGTAGTGTGTAGTCTGTATTTTGGTTTTGACACTTTGTTTTAGACAATAAAACATTCAAATCCTTATTTT